ACCAACTCATTGCATGTCTGTTAAAATCCTCCAGTTGATGTAAGAGTCCATACAATAGAGGACATTGCACACATTTCCAGATCTCATTTTGTGTTCAGATTCTACAAAAGTGTTTCTAAGCTCATGTATCCCAGTCTGAGCTTTCCCTGGGGCTGAAGCCCTGGCCCCATGCTTGGATAACCCATAGTGGGACACACTCCACACTGAGACCCAGGACTCCCAAACCCTACTCACCCCCCTTCCTGTAGTTCTTCTGATGCCTGAGTCTGAGGAAATGGAAGAGGACAAGGAGGAAGAAGGCCACAGAGACACCAATCACAGCCTTTTGGTATTCTTCCAGTTCTATGAGACAGAGGACATTATGAATGAAGAACTATAAATTAGAACATACGGTATGTGACTGAAGAGGCTATCACAGAGTCTTCATGGGTTTGGACTAGGTCCTCTGCAGATATGTTATGGTTCTTAGTTTGGTGTTTTGTGGGAGAATTCTGAGAGTGGTGGTGTGGGTGCATCTGACACTTTTGCCTGGCCTTTGAGACTCTATTCTTCGACTCTTCTCCCTCACCTGCCTTGAGGTGAGGGTTTCTGCCAAATATTATGGTATCATGTTGTGCCATGTTAAGCTAATGCCCCTAAGTGGTCTTCTCTTGTGGAGGAAGATGGGACAGGAGTAATGGTGTGGGGAAGAGTGGATGTGTGTGGGGGAACTCAAAAGAGTGAAGTCACGGGAAGTGGCAATTGGAATGTATTGTATTAGAAAAGAATCAGTCAATCAATCAATCAATAAATAAATAATAAAGAACCTACTGTGTGAACACCCAATGTGGACTGATAGTATTTACTACCTATCATTGTCATAGCCATGTACATGGGACCATCTCTGAACACTTCCAGTAGTTTTTCCTGGCCCAAAAGACACCCAGAGAGACGGTGCATTGCTGAGGATACAACCCCAAGTGTTTGTCCTCCCACCAAGTTTCCTACACTGGAGCTAAACCTCATGAAGTGGAAGGAATGATCCTGAATATTCTGCCCTAGCCCTGTACCAAACTCTGACACAGTGTCACCAACACAGCACCGAATGAGGCAGAACTACTTCAGAACAGGACTCTAGAGTCTTTCTCTGTAAGTAGATGAAACAGGTAAGACCATCATTTAAAAGAACTTAATGTCTATGCCATGGCTCTCCCATTTACACTTGGAGAAACTGAAAACCACACAAGAGAGGGGGCAATTGAAATTTGATGTGTGGCATGTGACTCTCTAAATAGCAGGGCTCAATGCTGGGAAATGAGGGGGCAAGGCTTGCCACCAGTGATGTTAAATGCGAAAGGTCTATAGAGATGAGTGAAGTGGACTGGACAGGAGTTGTAGTACCTGTCACCCACTCCAAACATAAATGCACCAACGACATAACTAGCTTGATGCCCCTGAACACACCCTGCAGTAGATTTCTTGCTCGGACCTCTGTGGTCAGAAACAGCAGGGATGAAGAGCTGTTGATCTTGGCCTGACAAAATAGGATGGGGAAATATGGAGAACGGACACCTGCTGTCATTTTATGTGTTTCAGCCTGGGACAGATAAAAATGTCACTCTTCCTCAGGATGCCTCTGTTGCAGCCTAGCTTCCAAACCTCGGAGTTTCTGGGGACCATATTGGGATCTCTGCTTCACACCCAGTAGCTTGGTCACCATTCAAGCTAATAAAGGAATGAAGACTCATGGGGACAGAGACTCTGCACACACTCAGGTGAAACAACGTCCCTAGACCAGAAAATCTAAAACCTCTATAGGAATGGATTTTTGGACCACAGGAGACTGTGGGAAATTTGTTGGGGGAATGATGTGAGGGAGGCTGCACTAAATATCTCATCTCTTCTCAGTCTTATATCTACACTACACCCCTCCAGCATCTCACAGCTTCCTCCCTGGAATCTCCTGGATTGCCATGAACAGGGTGAGATGGTTATTAATTGAGAAATCTCAGTTTACTTCTTAATCTCTGCATGGATCAATTCCTAGGTCAATTGTCCCGGATTAACCTCAGAGCTCACAAACGTCTGGGTCACCTCACCTGAGACTATGATCTCCACAGGAACACTGGCATGTGACAGCAGGTAAGGGGATGAGCTGTTAGAACCAAAGCATATGTAAGAGCCCCCAAAGGCTGAGGTCACAGCACTCATGAAGAATTCTGCCTCATATCGTAGATCTTGAGACTTTGCTCTTTGTTGCATGTAGGGATGGGCTGCACCTTCCTTGAACAGAAAGAATGTGTCCACTGGGACTGATGATTGACACAGCAGGGTCACATTCTCTCCTGAGGACACAGTAGTGCCTGGATACACTGAGAGATTGGGTGTGACAGGAGGATGTCCTAAAGAGAAGAAAAGTAAGTGAGTGAAGTTCTATAGCCATTGTTCTGAGCCCCGTTTTCAGAACCTAATCTCTACAATTTAACAGGCAGCCCTTCATCCACTCCCTTTTTCCTAGACCTATTCCACCCTGAGATGCTCATCATCTTTTTGTTGATGAGTCCCAGGCATCCACCAAACTAGGCCTGTGCTGAGATGGGTCCATACTAAATGCCCTACATTCCTCACCTGTGATGAGGATGTCCAGAGAATCACTGGGGGCTGACCAGTCTGAGAAGTTATAAGAACCATAGCATCTATACCGGCCTCCAGTGGAAAAATTCACAAAACCTAGGGTGAAGTTGGCATGAAAATATCCAGCTTGAGACTGATGAACAGAGACCTGGTGGAGGTCACTTCCCACTTCCTTGGACAGAACAAATCTGTCATAACTTATCTCAGAGGAACACTGAAGGGTCAGGTTTTCTCCAGGGCCCAGGACAGGGCCATGTTCGGTCACCAGGGAGGGCTTCCCTGACAGGCCTGGAAGGAGGATAGACAGGAAGTTATTCAGCTGGCTCTTCCATTACATTCCATATCCCATCCTTCTCTGACACTCCATGGCCATTCATACTCTAGGCCTATCCCTCAAGAAGTCCCTTCAGCCATCATGGCCCCAAACCATCCTTGAGGGTTCAGCAGGGCATATGTCAAATGGTTTCTGGTGTCAAACAGTTGAGTGAATGAAGAGACTTCCTCACCTGAGACATGTATCTCCAGAGGGTTACTAGACTCTGACCACACAAGTGAGGTAATTGTATAATATCCGTAACATCGGAAGGGACCATTCTTGCTGGATATCATAGAAATCTCAGGAAACAGAGCTAGGGACTGTCCAGTGTGTATGAACTGTGCCTTTTGGGACCTGGAGAACTTCAGATCTTTCCCAGTCAAAATGAACCCATCATATCCTTTGGATGAGACACACTGAAGGGTCACATTCCCACCTGAGGTCACCACAGGGCTGGGAAAAGCTGAAAGAATAGGTTTGTCATGGTAGACACCTAGAAAAAGAGGACAGAGACTGTTAAATGATACATTGTCTGCAGCAGCTGGGCTATGGCTGAAAATGTTTACAGATATTTTTCCTGAGGGAAAAATGTAGAGGGCATAATGTACTCAGATTCACCAATAATATGGGAGAAATCAGAAATGTTACACATATAGTGTTTCTGCTCAATGGAGGAGATAAATACCTGTTTTCTAGAAGAAAGCTAGGAATGGATATTGTTAATACCCAGGTGACCTTTCCATTTGTAGATCCAAACTTCACCTGAATCCCTGAGGATGTTTATTGGAGACTCTCCTCCCTAGAACTTTATCAGTGGCATTCATTAATAAAGCTCATCCTTTGGGGAGATGTCACATATAGTTTTTAGCCTGCTGCCATTGGCATTACCTCAGTCAGAGACAACACCAGAGCAAAGGCCCTCAAGATATAAAATCAGTCTTCACATTCAAATGTACTCTGATTTGAGTTTTGATGTAATTATGCCTAGTTGTTCATTAGGGTTTCGATTTCACCTGTAATCTTTTTTTTTTTTTTCAGAATTGTTCTGTGTTTAAATTTGCTTCAGACTTTCAAGAGTGTGACCTGGCAACTACTATGTCAGCCTGATCAGATTTTTTCTCATTACTTCATGTGGGTCATTTTCCTGCAAACAGCAGAGCTTTCAGGGTGAGGACTGTAACCCATATTGTCCACTCACCTGTCACCACCAGCTCCAGGGGCTCACTGTGCTCTGTGCAGCCTGTAGATTTGTAAGAGTAACAGCGATATTGCCCTGCATGGTGCTTTTCCATGGATGCTATGGAGAACATGGCCTTGCTACCAGGATCTTTGGGAGTTTGACTGTCCCAGGGTGCTGAGCTTCCTTCTTTATACAGGAAATATATTTGGGTTTCCTTGGACCCCTCACACCAGATTGTCACAGGATTCCCTGAGGTGATCACAGAGCCTGGCTCAGCCCATATGGTGGCTTTCTGGAGTGTCCCTGAAAAGAGTAAGTGAGAGCGATGTGGGACTTTAAAAAGTTGTACAGTGAATGTGAAACTCAGACTTGAGCTTTGAATAACAGAAGGACACATGCACCAATCTGAAGATACATCTCTCTGCTAACTACCAGGTTCTGTTCTCACAAGACCCCTCATTGGATTCTCTACCTTCACTCCCACGGTCTGCTTCTGTATCAGTAGGTTAATGGACCTGTCCTTTCCTTAACTCATCACACATTAGGGTCTCCATGGGAAACCTGTTTCAGGTTCAGTGTCAGTTAACAGAGAGGCTGGGGCTTCCTCTGAGACTAGATGCTACAGTATGTCTTTACCTTCTGACAACACTTGAGGAGAGCTAACCTCCATCTTTTACTGAGTGTGATGGGACTCACCTGGAACCTGGCTAGAGACAGCCCATCATATACACATTGTAAGCACATGGAGATGAAGAATTGTTTATGCTTAATTAAAATGAATCAGTTGTGTCTCTGATTTAAGTACATGAGAGGATCACAGAGCCTTCTAGGAGTACAACAGAGTTTGGCGGTGAAAACAGGGTGGTTTATTTTCGACATGTAGGAGAAATACATATGGAATATTAAATGGGTTCACACAGTGTGGATTGTCCCTCATACCTGACTGACTTATTGGGGATATATTCAGAGCACACCCTTATCTTAAGAGTCACATCTGGGATCCACATGACTCCAGACTATCCCGTCACCTGTTACCACTAGCTCCAGGGTGTCCCTGCATTCTGACAAGCCAGGAAAGTTGTGAGAGTAACAGTGATATCAGCCTGTCTGCATTTTCATCACAAGGGATGGTGAATTTTGCCTTATTGTTGTGATTCTTTTGGGTCTCTCTGCCCCAGGGGTCTAGGCTTCCCTCTTTGTGTAGCACATATGTTTGGGTTTTTCATCCTCACACCAGATGGTGACAGGACGCTCTGATGTGATCACATAACCTGGCTCAGCCCATATTGAGGGATTATGAAGGGCCCCAGCAAAGAAGAAGAAAGAAAGGAGGTGCATCTGTTAGGAGAATTGCGCAGAGAAGGTC